AATTATATCTAAAACTAACTTACTTTACTATTTTTAACTTTTATATTCTTATCTAGATTATAGTTATTATCCTCTAAGTTAACCTTTTTTTTATGCTAAATATAATTAAAATATAATTTAGAGAATGTATTTAAAAAGTATTTTACTTTAGTTATACTACCTTTAGCTGCTTTAACTACTTTCTTTTTAGCAGCAACTTGCTTCTTCTTTGTGTAGGCATTTGTGTAGATCTTTTTCTAAGTTTTTAGCAGCTAGATATAATTAGTGCTATTCTAGTAATATATTTTATAAGTAGTAAAACGTACAGGATCTTAACGCAAAGTAAGCCTAGCATTCTTATTACTATTCTCTGCTACCTGTTAAATAGTTTCTATAATTACCTTATACATATCTAGATATAATTAGAATGCATAACTAAAATTTAGAAATTATATCTAAAATATATACTTTTAATAATTTAGAGTTTAGCTGCTTTCTTCTATTTTTTAGCTTAATTTCTAATAATTAGTAAGGCATGTGCTTTGTAAACATGCTTAGGTAGACTAGAACAACTAGAGATAAAGTGCTAGATATAATTAAAATATATTACTTAAAGTAAAGATTATATCTAAAGTTAATTCTTACTTACTTTATAATTATTAACCTAGCACTAACACTTAGCATATAAAAGATTAAAGCCTTAGATAACTTAAGCAGCTACACTACTTTTTTTACTTTTAATAAAAAGTTGCATCTCTTTGTCTTAAACACTATCCTAGATAATATTAAGTATAAACTTAAATTAGGGAATTATATTCTAAATGTACTTATATATACTGTCTTTTGCACCTAATCTAGAACACAACGCGGCAAATAATAGAGCGTATAATAATTAATGTAAGATTGCTGTAGATATAATTAGGATACAATATCTAGGCTCTTACTTTTTAGTGGGGCGCTACCTAAAAGTGAGTAAGCTAAATAATAAGGGGAATAGGACTTATGTAAGTACTTAGGCTGCTGTAGGGGTTTAAGAATTCTATTTAAATAGAAATAGTGCTTAATTTAGAGAGTTTTTAGAGAGTTTTAAGGCTGCGACCTGACGTAGTGGTGGGTGCTGTTTGGAGGAAGTTTTCCTGTGTCGCGCGAGCTTTTGGATACATTGGCCGAAATTTAGCCGACAAGCGAGATTTTAGCGTGTATGACCGAGCTGCAACCTCGTCTCGCTCGTGGGCTGTTCCCAAGCGCCGCCGAAGTCATAGCCTTAACTAGCCCCACTAATTGTTAGGCACATCATCGATATGAATTGCGGCAACTCTCTCCCAACTTCCCGGCACTTCATAAAAGGGGCGGAGAAGTATGTTTACCCAACTGTACCATGGCCACACCGACGCGAAGGCTGCGGTTGCATGCCTCTGCATTTATTGTCACCATTTTCAACCGAGCTCTTCGTGGGTGAATTTTTCTTTCGCGAAGTAATCGAACATCTTCTGTAGGCTCCAATACCACCTGCAACCTCTCTGGGCCGTACCAACGATGCCTCAGCGGACATTCTTGCTGGTCGGTGCCACATTTTGGATGGCTATGGTGGTATTTGCGCAACTAGCTCCACCCGTTCCATACCTGCGAACACCATCCTCCCGACAGCTCGCTTGGCATCGACTAGAATACTATGCTTTCGTGCATTTTGGGCCAAACACTTTCTCAAACGAGGAATGGGGCCGCAGCCAGAGCACTCCAGACGTCTTCAAGCCCACCGCGCTGGACACAGACCAATGGGCGAAATCGTTCGCAGATGCGGGGATGGCGGGTATGATTCTAACGGCGAAGCACCATGACGGGATGGCATTGTGGGATACTAACACGACGACTTATAAGATTGGTAACGGGAGCTGGGCCCGAGGTCGTGTTGCGAAGGGTCTTAATGCCGACGTGGTGCAGATGGCAGCCGCTTCTGCGAAGAGGTACGGCATCAAGTTTGGAATCTACCTCTCTCCATGGGACATCCATCGTGACCCGGCCATGCCAAAGACAAACTTGTCCGGCACACCGTACGACGAACCGCAAATTTTCGGGGATGCTAGTCCAGGAGATTACAACGAGCTCTACGCTCGACAGCTAACAGAGCTGGTTACGATGCGGTTAAGTGATGGCTCGCCGATCGAGCTGTTTGAGCTGTGGCTCGATGGGGCAAGTGGATCCGATACGGTGCAGACATTTGGCTGGACAAGGTTCCGCGACATCATCCGCCAGCAACAGCCGGATGCTGTCATGTGGGGACATCAAGGCGTAGATGCACGCTGGGTTGGTAACGAGGACGGGGTGACGGTTGCAACGAACTGGCATACTATCAGCAGGACGCAGGACGACGCGCGCTACAGTGGTGACCAGTTGCAGATGGGAGTACGAGATGGAAAGTACTGGACGCCGGCGGAGGCAGATGCCCGCATACGCACTGGTTGGTTTTTCCATGCCAATGAGAAGCCGAAAACGTCCGATGCTTTGATGGACATGTATCTGCGGTCCATTGGCCAGAGTGTGAACTTCTTGCTTGATGTGCCCCCCGATACGACCGGACAGATCAATAAAGACGATGGAGACGTTCTACTGAAGTTCAAGGCTCAGCGCGACGTATTTCTCAACCGCACTTTGCTCTCCCCAGGAGCCATCGCCTATGCTAGCAGTATTCGTGGGGGAAACTCCACGCTATATGGGCCAGCGAACGTGATCGACGACAACGACAGTACATATTGGGCTATGGACGATAAAGAGACTACTGGAACGTTGGAAATTGATTTGGGCAGCGCCTGCAGTGTCGACGCGGTCATTGTGCAGGAGTATATTAATCTGGGGCAACGGGTCGGTGGATATACGATCGATGGGTTTGTTAACGGTGCATTTAAAACGCTTGTTACGGGAACATCGCTCGGATACAAGCGTATCCATAGGCTGAGCACGCGAATTGAGACGAACAGGGTTCGTCTACGCGTTACACAGGCGAATGCCACGCCTTCGATTAAAAGTTTTCAGGTCCTTGGGGAGCGGAAGGGATCAGGGTAATTGGGGGGCTACTGTTTCATACAATCTGAGGGTCCCTATGGAAAATTGTTAGGCTTGAAAAGAAGGCTCGCAATTGTTAGATATAGGGCCCAATTCATTTAGACCGTGGTTTAGAGGCGCCCAGAAGATATCTCGACGGTGGGCGGGGAACATCTCTGGTGTCATCACCTTGGACGGACTGCAGCACCCTGTTGAGCTTCCTATCATGGAATGCGGAGGACGAGCGTCAGCTCTTCTCCGTCAGATCCACACTCTCTATGAAGTAATTATGGGATCTGTTTTAGTTCTTCCTTCACCCTTATCCTGAACAACGAGGGCTTGGGAGGGCGCGTTTTGGAAGGAACCATCTCCGACTGGGCTACCATAAGATAGCAATGGATTCACGTAATTCCATTCGAACTCCCTGCACTTGGGGAATATGCTGAATTATTCAATTCCAAGTTCTTATCAAGGGTATCATCTCCCTCTACCTTGCCTCAGTCACTATTATCTAGATTCCAAACTCCATCAACGGAGCTCAGTTAAAAGCGAGTGCAGCGTTCCCAACCGTACGTAATACGTTTCAACTTGCTGTTTTTTAGGCTGTAACTTCTTAGTTTGTTAGTACGTTTTAATGTAAAGAGAGAATTTAAATCTACTTACAGGGCGTAACTATTACAGCTTATAATCCTCCTACGTTTTAACAGCTTGTAAGATGTTACAGTGTATACAGTCTACTAAGTCCCTTATTTTACTATAAATATAACCCTGCTAGAGCTAGTTTTTTTGCAGTTAAAGAGCCTTAATTATTAAGCTAAAAAGCTTATTTTTATTATAAGTAATAGTTCTTCTACTTTTAAAAAAGGACCTCTTATAATTACAGCTTATAAAAGAGATAGATAAGAAGTTAAAAGTAATTTTATATAGTGTAAAGTAAAAAAGTTGTCTAACTTATTCCTACTAAGTAAGAGGGTTAGTAAATAAAGGGCTATTATTATTAGCTATAGTAATGTCTTTATAGTAGCTGTTATAGTACTGCTGTAACTTTATTATTTTCTACTACTTTTTATATAAGCAGCTGCTAGTAAGGAGGCTTATGTTAATAAAAAAAGTCCTTTTAAAGCTCTTATTATAATAGTTGCTACTAGGTAACTTATGTTATATAGGCTTTTAAGTAACATGGTCCACAAGCGAATGTTCAACACAAGCGAGTGTTCCGCCCCACCACCAAAACGCAGCTAACCTACTACTAACTGTGATGCATTAACAACTATACAATTAATTATTTTTAAAAGAGGCTAGAATTAACCTAGCTATTTAAGCTCTTAATAGAGACACGTTTTTAACTAAGAGGCGCGCTGCAGCACTTTATAATGTTAATTAAATAGCTCTCTGCTAACAACGCGCAGGGATGACTATGCAACGCGACTGTATAGCTAACAACAAAAAGCTTATAAAGCTAGAAAAGGAGGTAATTATTAAGCATATACTTAATCTAGATTCCTAAGGATTTGCGCCTACTCTAGGTGCTGTACAAGAGATAGCTAACAAGCTTCTTACTAAGCACAGCGCTCTACTAGCAGGTATTAACTAGCTATCTAACTTTGTTGCGTGTACACTAGCAGTTAAAACCTACTTTAGCTAACTATATAATTACTAATAAGCAAAATGTAAAGATTTAGTAATTATAAGTAAGTAGTTTAAGCTTATAGAAGCTACATAATTAAAGTACAGCATTATAGATTAGGACATGTATAATTTTAATAAGACAAGCTTTTAGATAAGGGTTATATTAAGCTAAATAGTTGTTATAGGCATAAATAGACATAATTAGCTAAAGGCTATACAGCTAGGTAACTGTAAATAGGTAACAGTTATTATAGGCATTAACGCAGATAAGTAGGTAATACCTTTATATATAATCTTTAAAGGCAAGCATCACCTATCTGCCTAGTATAAAAATAAGGATATACTAAAAGACTAGGCTATTAGTGTTAGTAATAATAGCTAGATAACTAATAAATATAGAATTACATAGCTAAAGCACTTTAATTTACATATAAAAAATTACTTAGTAGGCTTATAGCAGCTACTTATTTTTAATAGCTATAAGAGCTATTACTTTATTAAATTCCTAGAGCTCTGCAAGCAGAGGCGTATTATAGCGCTCTGTATGCCAGCACACGCGTTACATATTCTACAGCTGCTTAACGTTAGCTGCTTTTTGCTGTTAAAGCGCGCGTACAGTACTAAGATTAGCTAGTTAATCTGCTACTAGATTAACTATATTAATAAGCTAACCTTTCTACTAGCCTTTAAAGCAGCATTTAGTTACTTAATTACAATAGATAATATCTGCGCAGGCTTTAAAGCTACAGGACTAGTCCTATTTAACCTAGAGCTAGTGCTTTTAAAGCTTAATATACAGCTACCTAATTAGCTAGCTACTCTACTACTAAATACTGCTTAGAAGGCTTAAACACTTAGTAATTTTTATAAAGTTAAGGCTTAGTTAACTCTACTATATAATTAAATTTAAAGGCATTAGAATTTATCTTCTTTTGCTATACTTAATTTAGCAAAGCAGCTAAGCAAGAGCGCTACTAAGATAGCTTATATTGCTGTTCTATAGCATAATTAAGCAGCTACTCTAGAGAGGGCCTATAAGGCAGCCACAAAGCGTAAGCAGCGTAAAAAAAAGTAAATTTAAAAAGAAAAAACTCTAATAAGTTATTAGAGCTTTAAGTTAAGTACTTAGAAGCTTGCTAGTATAGCAGAAAGTAGTAAAATGCCTTAGAAGAAGTTAACTGCTAAAAGCAGCGCAGCACGCGCACAGCGCTGCAAGCGCTGTAACAAGCCTAGGCATAACTCTTATACATGTAAGGATATTAAATAATCTTATAGTAGTTTATTTTATATAGTATATTTTTACGTTGTTAAATTAATAGTCTTTAAAGTTAAATTTAGTAGTGGGGCGGAACACTTGCTTGTGTTGAACATTCGCTTGTGGACCATGTTAACATTATTATTATTAGCCTTAGCCTTAGCCTTTATATTAACATACTTTTAAAAAACAGCCTTTATTAAAGCTTTAGCTTTTTTATGCTATGTAAAGTGCTTTCTCTAGTAGTTCTTAAACTAAATAAAATAAAGTTAAGAGTTTAAAATTATTACTATATAGTAATAAAATATAAGTAGCTTAATAATAAACTTTTTCTAGTATATAAGCAACTTCTCTATGCTAAATGCTACACTAGATTTAAAGTAGTAATTATTACTCTTACCTTTAAGTTTATTACCTATACATAGAAGCTTAGTATAGAAGTGTTATAGGTTAATAATAAACATCTAAAGAGAGCTATAAGAGCTGTTGCCTTTAAAGTGTTTTATTATAAAGTAAAAAACTTTAAGAAACTTATAAAAGTAATTAACTTTTTTTTATTTATTTTTAGTAATAACCTTAGTAAGAGTAGAGTTACTAAAAATAATAGAGTTTATAAAGTTATTATTAGTGCTTCTGTCTGTACGCAGCAGCAGCGTCGCGGCCTAGATACGAGCGATCACGCACGAGCAGGATCACGTATCTATGTCACATGATGCTCGTGCGCGAACCTCTGTGCGCGAACATCTAGATATCCCCCTTTTCCTCTGTACAGAGGAAAAACAAGAAGTAATTAACACTAGTTACTTAACACCCCTGTGCAATGTTTACACTGTGCAAACCTCTCTGTCTTGTACACATTTGCTAACACTAAGTGCTAGCTAGCAGAGAGTCTATTTAACACTAATTAGTAGTTTAAATACTATAAAAAAAAAGCTTTTTTTATACTTTTTTATTTAAAAGTGTTAAATAGGCTCTGACAGCTAGCTGCTTATAGTATAAGCACTTAAGTAGCAAGAGTAAGAGTGGTGTACAGTGTGCACAGCGTACAAGGTAGGTAAGGTAAGGGCAACATGTTTCTAGTTCTATTACTCTTGTCTTTCCTTTATATAGAGGAAAAAGGGGATATCTAGATATTTACGCATAGAAGTTTGCACACAAGCATTATGTAACATAGATACATAGTCCTGCTTGTGCGTAATTGCTTATATCTAGATTATAACGCTACTGCTATGTACAGACACTAGCAACTTTTCTTTTTATCTAAAAAGTTACCTTTTATACATGTTACTTTCTTTCTATCTGTGTAGGTCTATTTAATTATGTTTTACTTTTACTCTACTTTATTTATTAAAACTTGCCTTAGTAATGCTGTACATTAAAATAAGCTAGTTACACTATATAAATAGCTTTATAAATAGTGTAAAGTATTTTAGGCTATTATTATCTAGCCTTTATACACTTATCTTGTAAGTAATTTAGTAGTGTATAAACTATTTTATATAGGGTTTTGTGCTAGAATAGTGTAGGATCTTTGCGTAGGCAGGTGCATAGGGAGGTGTATATAATAAGGTCTTTTTTTTTCTTTACTTTCTCTTTTTTATCCTTTACTTTCTAAGCCTTACTATACTATTCCTTAGCTTTTTTCTTTTTTTATGCAGTGCTAACAGTAACAGATACTCCTGCCTGCACACACACACACACACACACACATAGAGAGAGAGAGAGAGAGAGAGATGTCTCTCTAGCCTTTCTTCTCTACCTCTAGCGCTGTTAGTGTAGGCGTCTTTAACGTCCTTATGCAGTCTAGCAGCTTAGGGCGCATCTGTGTTACCCTTTTAACTAGTTTTACTACTAATTAGTAGTTTATTTAATGTCTTAGCATAAATATATAAATCTTTTAGCTCTTTTACTTCTTTTTTATATAAAATGCTAATTATAGATAAGCTAAAAAGTAGTATATAGCAGCTTTACTATTTTATAATATTAATATTATCTTACCTGCTAGCACTAATTTATAGCTGTAGGCAGCAAAGGTTATGTGTTATAAGAAATACTTCTATGCAGTTTTAGTTTAAAGTTATAGTTAAGTCCTAGCAACTCTATGTGCTTATTATTATAGTAGCACTACTAGTACCTT